CGGTCCGGACACTTTCCCCCCCTTCCGGTCCGGACACTTTCCCCCCCTTCCGGTCCGGACACTTTCCCCCCCCTTCTGGTCCGGACACTTTCCCCCCCTTCCAGTCCGGACACTTTCCCCCCTTCCAGTCCGGACACTTTCCCCCCCTTCCGGTCCGGACACTTTCCCCCCCTTCCAGTCCGGACACTTTCCCCCCCTTCCAGTCCGGACACTTTCCCCCCCTTCCGGTCCGGACACTTTCCCCCCCTTCCGGTCCGGACACTTTCCCCCCTTCCGGTCCGGACACTTTCCCCCCCTTCCAGTCCGGACACTTTCCCCCCCTTCCAGTCCGGACACTTTCCCCCCTTCCAGTCCGGACACTTTCCCCCCCTTCCAGTCCGGACACTTTCCCCCCCTTCCAGTCCGGACACTTTCCCCCCCTTCCAGTCCAGACACTTTCCCCCCTTCCAGTCCGGACACTTTCCCCCCTTCCAGTCCGGATACTTTCACCCCCTTCCAGTCCGGACACTTTCACCCCCTTCCAGTCCGGTCACTTTCACCCCCTTCCAGTCCGGACACTTCCCCCCCCTTCCAATCCGGACACTTTCCCCCCTTCCAGTCCGGATACTTTCACCCCCTTCCAGTCCGGTCACTTTCACCCCCTTCCAGTCCGGACACTTCCCCCCCCTTCCAATCCGGACACTTTCACCCCCCCTTCCAGTCCGGACACTTTCACCCCCTTCCAGTCCGGTCACTTTCACCCCCTTCCAGTCCGGACACTTCCCCCCCCCCCTTCCAATCCGGACACTTTCCCCCCCTTCCAGTCCGGACACTTTCCCCCCCCTTCCAGTCCGGACACTTTCCCCCCTTCCAGTCCGGATACTTTCCCCCCCTTCCAGTCCGGACACTTTCACCCCCTTCCAGTCCGGTCACTTTCACCCCCTTCCAGTCCGGACACTTCCCCCCCCCCTTTCAATCCGGATACTTTCCCCCCCTTCCAGTCCGGACACTTTCCCCCCCTTCCAGTCCGGACACTTTCCCCCCCATTCCAGTCCGGACACTTTCCCCCCCTTCCAGTCCAGACACTTTCCTCTCCCTTCCAGTCCGGACACTTCCCCCCCCTTTTCAGTCCGGACACTTCCCCCCCCTTCCAGTCCGGACACTTCCCCCCCCCGTTCCAATCCGGACACTTTCCCCCCCTTCCAGTCCGGACACTTTCCCCCCTTCCAGTCCAGACACTTTCCCCCCTTCCAGTCCGGACACTTTCACCCCCTTCCAGTCCGGACACTTTCACCCCCCTTCCAGTCCGGATACTCCCCCCCCCTTCCAGTCCAGGCCAATTTTCAGCTTTCAGCGCTATCACACTTTGAATGACAATTGCGCGGTCATGCAACACTGTACCCATATGAATTTTTTAGCTTTTTTTTAAGACAGATAAAACTTTATTTTGGTGGGATTTATTCCCCGCTGGGATTTTTATTTTTTTCCTATATAAATGAAAAAGTCCAAACATTTTGAAAAAAAAGGGTTTTTTCTTCGAACATTTTGCAAATAAATAATCTTTCTTCATAAATCTTGTCCAAAATGTATTCATCTATCTTTTTAGTAAAAAAAAAAAAAACAAATTAGTTTATAACCAAAAATTATAATTTTTCTTAATTTTTTTTTTTTTTTTTTTATATTATTACTTATGTTTTTTTTAACATACTGTCACCCTAGCAGTAGGGTCACCATGGTGACACTGTACACTTGTGGGGGGTGATGAAGATTTTTTTTTTTTTTTTACACTGATTGCTTTTACAGCCATGAAGGCTGAAGAATCATTTCTCCTTCTCTCTGGCTGCATTCTTGCAGCCTTTGAGAAATACTGTGAGAGCTGTGATTGGTCACAGCTTGTCACATGGTGCAAGGCTGTTGTGAATAGCCCTGTACCATGTGACCTCTATGATCATTCACAGATTTCACACGTAGTAAGCAATGATGTCAGAAGTGACGTCTTGTGTACTACTATTCATGTGATCACTGATTGGCCAATGAGTGATCACATGATCAGGACCTCACACAGAGGTCCAGAGGACACAGCAAACACTGATCGCGGTGTCGCGTGCTCCCAGTGAGTGCGCACAGGCAGTGAATGCAGGTGACATTTAGAAATGTCAACTCACTTCGGCAGCGCTCCCGTGATTGGTCACAGCTTGTCACATGGTACAAAGCTGTTGTGAATGGCCCTGTACCATATGATCTCAGTGATCATTCACACATTTCACACGTAGTAAGCAATGATGTCAGAAGTGACATCTTGCTTACTACTATTCATGTGATCACTGATTGGCCAGTCAGTGATCACATGACCTCACACAGCCCTCCCATACAGCGATCTGTGTTCTGATCGCGGTGCCGCGCGCACAGGCAGTGAATGCAGGTGACGTTTAGAAATGTCAATCTGCTTCAGCGGCGCTGCCGTCCCGCCTTTTATAGACAAAGGTTGGATAGGAAGAGGTTAAAGTGCACTTTATAAAAAGTTTTGAACAGATAAGACTTTTTTTGACTTTTTTCTGACGTCCGGAACGGATTAATTGGTTTTCAGTGCATTCCTATGGCAAATCGCGTTTCGGGTTTATACATTTTTTGCAATACGAAACGTCCCGGAGAACGCATTAAATTCGTAAGACGAGGTACGCCTGTATGTGGATTTGGTATCAGTCGATGATTCGGCCACCACTGAGCGATCATTGTGCCAAACAAGCTCACCAATATCAGGTCACTGACTGATACCAGATACATTGTATGGTGCCTGATGAAGGGAGGTGCAGCCCCTGAAACGCGTTGCCTTTGTGAACGCAGTGCAATAAACCAGCATTTAGACATGAAAGTTACAGTGTGGCCATTCAATCTCCTAACGCATTTGATTTTTGTGGGACGAGGACAGTTTTTCACCGTGTGCCCCCCCCCCCCCCCCCCCCCCCCCCCCCGCCCCGGGATCGGTCAGCAGCGGGTTTATATTGTCGCCACGGCACTTGTGAAGCCGCCGAGCAGAGAATTGATGAATCACGCTGCCAAAGCATCGGGATTGTCGTGCCAATGGACCGAATCTCTCCTTTCCTTACTCCCCAAATTAAAGAGACCCTGTCACCAACTTCAAATCAAGGATCTCACATGCTACTTGCAGCAATAAAGAAACTATTTTTACTTCTGAACTTGCTGGAAGATGTGACTGCCCCAGGAAGAGTCAATTCCTCAACACAGCCCCCTCCTCTTCTGGGAGAGTCTAGTTTACTGCCTGTGCTGACCCAGCTGTTTGCTGATGGCAGCTCCCATTTCTCTCTTCTGCCAAATTCCTTCCCCTCCCCCAGTGATCAGACCGTACATTGTAACTTTGTAGAAGGAGGAGGAAGCATTTCCTCAGTCTCCCCTCCCCCAGTGATCAGACTGTACATTGTAACTTTATAGAAGGGGGAGGAAGCATTTCCTCAGTCTCCCCTCCCCCAGTGATCAGACCATACATTGTAACTTTGTAGAAGGAGGAGGCAGCATGTTCTCAGTCTCCCCTCCCCCAGTGATCGTACTGTATATTGTAACTTTGTAGAAGGAGGAGGAAGCATTTCCTCAGTCTCCCCTCCCCCCAGTGATCAGACCGTACATTGTAACTTTGTAGAAGGAGGAGGAAGCATTTCCTTAGTCTCCCCTCCCCCAGTGATCAGACCGCACATTGTAACTTTGTAGAAGGAGGAGGCAGCATTTCCTCAGTCTCCTCTCCCCCAGTGATCGTACTGTATATTGTAACTTTGTAGAAGGAGGAGGAAGCATTTCCTCAGTCTCCCCTCCCCCAGTGATCAGACCGCACATTGTAACTTTGTAGAAGGGGGAGGAGGTGTTTCCTCAGTCTCCCCTCCCCCAGTGATCAGACCGTACATTGTAACTTTGTAGAAGGAGGAGGAAGCATTTCCTTAGTCTCCCCTCCCCCAGTGATCAGACCGCACATTGTAACTTTGTAGAAGGGAGGAGGAGGAAGCATTTCCTCAGTCTCCCCTCCCCCAGCGATCAGACTGTACATTGTAATTTTGTAGAAGGAGGAGGAGGCATTTCCTCAGTCTCCCCTCCCCTAGCGATCAGACTGTAGATTGTAACTTTGTAGTAAATGCAACATGTTACATTGTTGCTCTCCACATCTGCTACATATGAGGTAGAAGTGAATCCGACATGCAGAGCAGCAGATGAATGTGTCGGGCGGCTGGTTGTGTCGGATTTGTTGCTGTGGAGGAACGGTCCGGGATGGTCCTGGATGGGGGAATCCTGGTGTCAGGCGGTACCACACGGACAGACATGACAATGGCTCCTCTGTGTCCATTGAAGGATGAATCTCCCTTCTGTTCGCTTTTCATACTCCACCGTTCACCATTGATGTGTGTAAAGGCGTTCTCACAATCATCTCCTTCCAGCCATTGGGGGGGGGGGGGGGGGGGGGATGCTCAGCGGCAGATTAAAGTCCCCCTGGGAGCAGATTGTGATGCACAATTAGAAAATGATGGGTCTCTGTGCTTCTCTATGCAATGCAGTCAGATCATGGCTGGTGGGAGGGGCCAGCAGGGGACTGTACATAGCTTCCCGAAATCATCACAGCACCCTGCCTCAGTACTCATCTCTCGAGCCCTCAGCCCCAATGCAATCAGTGGGAGGAGTTATGCAAATATCCAAACACCTTGATGGGTGGGTGTCAGTCTGGAGGGGTGGGTGGTCCTAGGCGGGCTGCAATTGCATGATATCACCCACATGTGATGCTGAGACTTCGCAATTGAAAGAACTAAAGTTCGATGAATGGAAGGGGCGGGGCCGGAGACAGTCCAGCTGGGAGGGAAAGGGCTAGAGGATGATGGATGTCCTGCAGCCAGGAAGTTGAAGTCACTGACCGGAGCGTTTTGTTGTCATGTAGCTGAGAAGTAAACGGTTGTCATCGATGTAACTTTGTGCTGCTCTGTTGTCTCTCTAGTTCTGCAGATCCTGAGCGGCGCGGCAGGCGTGATGCACAACGGGAGACTCTGGCTGTGCTGCCCCTTCCCTCCTCTCTCCTCATTCGATGGCTGACACTTCCTCTCGCTGGATTCATCCAGGTAAGGACTCTTCCTCAATGCCCTGTTCTTGTATGGACTGGAGATGGAGAGATACAAAGTAACATGGTTTATAAACATCGATCAGACGGGAGATAGAGAGATACAAAGTAACATTGTTTATAAACATCGATCAGACTGGAGATAGAGATACAAAGTAACATTGTTTATAAACATCGATCAGACTGGAGATAGAGATACAAAATAACATTGTTTATAAACATCGATCAGACGGGAGATAGAGAGATACAAAGTAACATTGTTTCTAAACATCGATCAGACGGGAGATAGAGAGATACAAAGTAACATTGTTTATAAACATCGATCAGACGGGAGATAGAGATACAAAGTAACATTGTTTATAAACATCGATCAGACGGGAGATGGAGAGATACAAAGTAACGTTGTTTATAAACATCGATCAGACGGGAGATGGAGAGATACAAAGTAACGTTGTTTATAAACATCGATCAGACGGGAGATAGAGAGATACAAAGTAACATTGTTTATAAACATCGATCAGACGGGAGATAGAGATACAAAGTAACATTGTTTATAAACATCGATCAGACGGGAGATGGAGAGATACAAAGTAACATTGTTTATAAACATCGATCAGACGGGAGATAGAGAGATACAAAGTAACATTGTTTATAAACATCGATCAGACGGGAGATAGAGATACAAAGTAACTGTTTATAAACATCGATCAGACAGGAGATAGATACAAAGTTACATTGTTACTAGGGAAGCATGGATGCCAGGAGATAGATAATACACATTTTGGTAACATTGTTTATAAACATTGGTGTTCATTCACAAGACACTATAAAACAGCCGACACATTTTGCTGGGAACGAGGATCTCGCCCTTCTTCGGGGCTCAAACATTGTATATATACAGAGAAAAGGATACATTGTATATATATATATATATATATATATATACAGAGAGGAGGATACAATGTATATATACAGAGAGAAGGATACATTGTATATATATACAGAGAGAAGGATACATTGTATATATATACAGAGAGAAGGATACATTGTATATATATATATATATATACAGAGAAAAGGATACATTGTATATATATATATATATATATATATATATATATATATACAAAGAGAAGGATACAATGTATATTTACAGAGAGAAGGGTACATTATATATATATATATATACAGTATATATATATATATATATATATATACAGAGAGAAGGATACATTGTACAGTCATGGCCGAAATTGTTGGCACCCTTGATATTTTTCCTGAAAATCAAGTATTTCACACAAAAAAGGTATTGCATTAACACATGTTTTGCTATACACATGTTTATTCCCTTTGTATGTATTGGAACAAATATAAAACAGAGGCAGAAAAGCAAATATGACATAATGTCACACAAAACCCCAAAAATGGGCTGGACAAAAGTATTGGCACCCTTAACTTAATATTTGGTTGCACACCCTTTGGAAAACATAACTGAAATCAGTCGCTTCCTATAACCATCAATAAGCTTCTGACACCTCTCACCCGGAATTTTGGACCACTCTTCCTTTGCAAACAGCTCCAGGTCTCTCTTATTGGAAGGACACCTTTTCCAACAGCAATTTTAAGATCTCTCCACAGGTGTTCAATGGGATTTAGATCTGGGCTCATTGCTGGCCACTTCAGAACTCTCCAGCGCTTCTTTGCCATCCATTTCTGAGTGCTTTTTGACGTATGTTTGGGGTCATTGTCCTGCTGGAAGACCCAGGATCTTGGACGCAAACCCAGCTTTCTGACACTGGGCCCTACAGTGCGACCCAAAATCCTTTGGTAATCCTCAGATTTCATGATGCCTTGCACACAGTCAAGGCACCCAGTGCCAGAGGCAGCAAAACAACCCCAAAACATCATTGAACCTCCACCATATTTTACCGTAGGTACTGTGTTTTGTTCTTTGTAGGCCTCATTCCGTTTTCGGTAAACAGTAGAATGATGTGCTTTACCGAAAAGCTCTATCTTGGTCTCATCTGTCCACAAGACGTTTTCCCAGAAGGCTTTTGGCTTACTCAAGTACATTTTGGCAAACTGTAGTCTTGCTTTTTTTATGTCTCTGTGTCAGCAGTGGGGTCCTCCTGGGTCTCCTGCCATAGCGTTTCATTTCATTTAAATGTCGACGGATAGTTCGCGCTGACACTGATGCTCCCTGAGCCTGCAGGACAGCTTGAATGTCTTTGGAACATGTTTGGGGCTGCTTATCCACCATCCGGACTATTCTGCGTTGCAATCTTTCATCAATTTTCCTCATCCGTCCACAACCAGGGAGATTAGCTACAGTGCCATGGGTTGCAAACTTCTTGATAATGTTGCGCACTGTGGACAAAGGCAAATCTAGTTCTCTGGAGATGGACTTGTAACCTTGAGATTGTTGATATTTTGCCACAATTTTGGTTCTCAGGTCCTCAGACAGTTCTCGTCTCCTCTTTCTGTTGTCCATGCTTAGTGTGGCACAGACAGACACACAATGCAAAGGTTAAGTGAACGTCTCTCCTTTTTATCTGCTTTCAGGTGTGATTTCTATATTGCCCACACCTGTTACTTGCCCCAGGTGAGTTTACAGGAGCATCACATGCTTGTAACATTCTTATTTATCCGCAGTTGTGAAAGGGTGCCAATACTTTTGTCCAGCCCATTTTTGGAGGTTTGTGTGACATTATGTCGAATTTGCTTTCTTTCCTCCCTTTTTTTGTTTTGTCCCAATACACACAAAGGGAATAAACATGTGTATAGCAAAACATGTGTTAATGCAATACGTTTCGTGAGAAATACATGATTTCCTGGAGAAATATCAAGGGTGCCAACAATTTCGGCCATGACTGTATATATATATATATATATATATATATATATACAGAGAGAAGGATACATTGTATATATATATATATATATAGAGAGAGAGAGAGAGAGGGATACATTGTATATATACAGAGAGAAGGATACATTGTATATATACAGACAGAGAGAAGGATACAATGTATATATATACACAGAGAGAAGGATACATTATATATATATATATATATATATATATATATATATATATACAGTCATGGCCGAAATTGTTGGCACCCTTGATATTTCTCCAGGAAATCATGTATTTCTCACGAAACGTATTGCATTAACACATGTTTTGCTATACACATGTTTATTCCCTTTGTGTGTATTGGGACAAAACAAAAAAAGGGAGGAAAGAAAGCAAATTCGACATAATGTCACACAAACCTCCAAAAATGGGCTGGACAAAAGTATTGGCACCCTTTCACAACTGCGGATAAATAAGAATGTTACAAGCATGTGATGCTCCTGTAAACTCACCTGGGGCAAGTAACAGGTGTGGGCAATATAGAAATCACACCTGAAAGCAGATAAAAAGGAGAGACGTTCACTTAACCTTTGCATTGTGTGTCTGTCTGTGCCACACTAAGCATGGACAACAGAAAGAGGAGACGAGAACTGTCTGAGGACCTGAGAACCAAAATTGTGGCAAAATATCAACAATCTCAAGGTTACAAGTCCATCTCCAGAGAACTAGATTTGCCTTTGTCCACAGTGCGCAACATTATCAAGAAGTTTGCAACCCATGGCACTGTAGCTAATCTCCCTGGTTGTGGACGGATGAGGAAAATTGATGAAAGATTGCAACGCAGAATAGTCCGGATGGTGGATAAGCAGCCCCAAACATGTTCCAAAGACATTCAAGCTGTCCTGCAGGCTCAGGGAGCATCAGTGTCAGCGCGAACTATCCGTCGACATTTAAATGAAATGAAACGCTATGGCAGGAGACCCAGGAGGACCCCACTGCTGACACAGAGACATAAAAAAGCAAGACTACAGTTTGCCAAAATGTACTTGAGTAAGCCAAAAGCCTTCTGGGAAAACGTCTTGTGGACAGATGAGACCAAGATAGAGCTTTTCGGTAAAGCACATCATTCTACTGTTTACCGAAAACGGAATGAGGCCTACAAAGAACAAAACACAGTACCTACGGTAAAATATGGTGGAGGTTCAATGATGTTTTGGGGTTGTTTTGCTGCCTCTGGCACTGGGTGCCTTGACTGTGTGCAAGGCATCATGAAATCTGAGGATTACCAAAGGATTTTGGGTCGCACTGTAGGGCCCAGTGTCAGAAAGCTGGGTTTGCGTCCAAGATCCTGGGTCTTCCAGCAGGACAATGACCCCAAACATACGTCAAAAAGCACTCAGAAATGGATGGCAAAGAAGCGCTGGAGAGTTCTGAAGTGGCCAGCAATGAGCCCAGATCTAAATCCCATTGAACACCTGTGGAGAGATCTTAAAATTGCTGTTGGGAAAAGGTGTCCTTCCAATAAGAGAGACCTGGAGCTGTTTGCAAAGGAAGAGTGGTCCAAAATTCCGGGTGAGAGGTGTCAGAAGCTTATTGATGGTTATAGGAAGCGACTGATTTCAGTTATGTTTTCCAAAGGGTGTGCAACCAAATATTAAGTTAAGGGTGCCAATACTTTTGTCCAGCCCATTTTTGGGGTTTTGTGTGACATTATGTCATATTTGCTTTTCTGCCTCTGTTTTATATTTGTTCCAATACATACAAAGGGAATAAACATGTGTATAGCAAAACATGTGTTAATGCAATACCTTTTTTGTGTGAAATACTTGATTTTCAGGAAAAATATCAAGGGTGCCAACAATTTCGGCCATGACTGTATATACAGAGAGAAGGATACATTGTATATATATATATAGAGAGAGAGAGAGAGAGAGAGAGAGAGAGAGAGAGAGAGGGATACATTGTATATATACAGAGAGAAGGATACATTGTATATATACAGAGAGAAGGATACATTGTATATATACAGAGAGAAGGATACATTGTATATATACAGAGAGAAGGATACATTGTATATATACAGAGAGAAGGATACATTGTATATATACAGAGAGAAGGATACATTGTATAAAGTATCTCCCAGA